GAAAATATTTTGTTGCCCATACGATTGCTAAAAGTTCTTTTTTAATCGTCGAATAATTACATTCAGCTGGGTTTAAAGTTCTTGATGCGTATGCAATGGGAAGATCAGCTCCGACAGGACCTTGAGATAAAACGGCTCCAATTGCATAGTTTGATGCATCGGTTGTCAATAAGAAAGTTTTCTTAAAGTCAGGATGTTGTAGTATTGGGTCATTTATTAATACATTTTTACAAGTTTCAAAGCTATTAAGAAATTCTGCATTGTGTATTATTTTTTTGTCTTTTTTCAAACAAGATGTCATTGGTTTGGTCAATTTGGCAAAATTCTTTATGAATTTTCGGTAATAACCTACTAATCCTAGAAATGATTTTATTTCCTTCACCGTCTTTGGTATTGGGAATTTTTTTATTGCCATTATCTTTTTTGGATCCGGTTTTATTCCATTTGGTGTAATTACATGTCCTAAGAATTCGACTGTCTTGTGTAGGAATTCATGATTTGTCTAATTGTATTTTTAAATTAAACTTCTCGAGTCTTTCAAATACTTTCTTTAAATTTTTTACGTGTTCATGAAGTCAAGTGGAAAAAATTATTATGTCATCTATGTATACTAGACATATTCTATTCTGTAATCCTAGTAATACAATATCCATCACTCTCTGGAATGTCGCGGGGGCGTTTTTCAAACCAAAGGGCATTCTGTTAAATTCGTAATGACCATTTTCAACATTAAATGCTGTTTTGGGTATTGAATTTTCATGCATCTCGACTTGATGAAAGCCAGAGGCTAGATCTAGTGTCGTAAAATAATTACTACGACCAAGTCGGTCTAATATATCCGTAATATTAGGTAATGGATATCTATCATCAATAGTTTTTTCGTTTATCTTTCGATAATCAACGACCATTCTCCATTTTTGTATGCCTGCGGCATCTTCTTTCTTAGGAGGTACAATCCACACAGGGGATGACCAAGGGCTACAGGATGGTCTGATTATGTTATCTTCTAACATTTTCTTTATTTGAGAATTTACTTCTTGTTTATGCACATGTGGGTATCTATACGTTTTTGTGTGCACTGGTATTTCATCCGTTGTTTTAATCTCATGTTTGACTTGATTGGTAAATGTCAATTTTTCATTTGGCTTGTGGAAAATTTTAGGAAAAGATTTAATTACGTGTTTTAAAGCATCAAATTCCTCTGAGTTTAAATGATTAATACGCAACGACTTAATGGGGTTATTTGCATATTCAGCATTTTCTAATAAAGTCATTTGCTCTATATTAAATATCTCAAACTGTTCGTCAGAGTACGGTAAACTTATTTCCGCTAAGTTGTTTATGTTATATGGGACAATAATAGGCTTATTCATTAAATTATGTACTTCTAGAGCTACGGTCTCGTTTATGACTGTGGCTATTGTCGATGGTATATAATACGTTTCATTTTTTATCGGTGGTGTAAGTATTTCAATGCCATCAGCTATATTTGTATTGAAATAACATACTCGAATTGAGTTGCTTGGAATCTCAAAATTTTGATTTTCGAAATCTGTTCTATATTGAAACGGAATTGTTGTTTTATTATTAGAAAAAAGCATATTAGAAAAATCTATATTTAAATTATTATCTTGTAATGCTTTGATTCCAATAATTCCATCAAAATAGTCATGGAAATTATACATTATCCTTTCAATGTTGTTTTGAATATTATATTCTTGTAAAATTGGGATATTGATTTTTCCATACGTTTTTCTTGTACCCATGCAAGTGGTTAATTTATTTCGTGAATTAATTATAGAATTTGAAAAATATTCTTCTGCGATTGAGGGTCTTATTAAAGAGGCATGACTTCCTGTGTCAATTAATAATTTACACGGTGGATAGTCTATTTGAATAAAAGGCAGTTGGTTAATTTGATAAGCATTTAAAGTTAATGCTGACTCATTGCATCCAAGGCTTGTAACTGAAAATTTTCGTCTTCAGTTGCGACTTGATTTTCTTCAAAATTTGTCTCTTCATAATAGTTTTGATTTTCAGAACATTCGTCATTTTCGAAATTTTCATCAGGTTCAGGCAATTCGATTTCAAAGATATTATTAATTTCTTCGATTGTATATTTAGAAGGGTATTGATGTTGATTTTGTGCTCTTGGTTGCACTGAAACACCGGACATAGGTGTGGGTTTCGAAAATTGTTGATTAGTGTTTTTTCGAAAGGCATTATTGTAGTTTTTGCCAAAAGTTCCTGAACTAGTAGGAAATTTTGTTGGTACATAGTCCTTTTTAGGTTGTATATAGGTTGGGATGGAAACTGTGGTTTCTGTGGTACATACGATGTTTTTTGTGTATATTGAGGTTTTTGTTGAGTATAGGTTTGTTGTGAACGAAATTGCGTATTTTTATTTTTGAAATTTGAAAAATTTTGATTTTGATTTTGATTTTGATTTTGATTAGTAGAATGAGTAAGGCCTCTACTAAATTTCATGTGGTTTTCAGCTAGTTGATAATTTAACACAAATTTGTTAGCTGCATCCAACGTTTGTGGATTTTGAACCATTAAAATTGTTCTTAATTCGGTTGGCGAATTAGTGACTAGATTTTGAATAGCAATAATTCCGTTTTGTTCAATTGAAACATTTGCAACTACCGTTAAATTCGGGTCGCACATAATTTTAGATGTAATTCTTTGAACTAAACCTTTTAGTTTATCCAAATACTCAATAATAGTTTCTTTATTAGTTTTAGTGGTATACATAAGCTCTTGTACCAAATTCTGTATAGAATATTGATCACCATACTTAATTCTTAACGCTTCTTTTATATCGGTCCATGTTTGTAAATCAGGACGTGCCATAAGAAAATTTCCTGCATCATTTATTAATTTTGATTTTATGGCGGTAACCACATACTCTTTTTGAGCATTTTCACCAGTATAATAGGTTTGATAAAATTCATTGATGTTTCTTATGAAATATTCTAAATATTGGCTTTCGCCACTGAAAGGTTTGATAAGTTGTACAATTGATTTTAAATTTTCGCTCATTGTTACGGTTAGTCTTTGATTTTGGTTGTTACTTCTTGAATTAGGATTGTAAAGATGAGTTAAATTAAATTGAGTCAAGAGATTCTCGATTTCTTCTTCAGAATCTGACATATATATTTCTTTGAATTTTTAAAAGAAATTATTTTGAAATTTTTTTAAAAAATTCAAAATTAGAAAGTTTTATTAAAATTAAAATTATAATTAATTATTCAGTCTTATGCGTTGCTTTTTCTTTAAAATTATTTGTTGTTGTGGGTTTGTAAATTCTTTTTTACTCTTTATTTTTGATTTCAGTCTTTTCAGCAAACCGTTTTGGAATTGCAAAAGAACAAAAATCTGAATTTAAGTCTTCTCAGTAAATCAAAAATTAGAAATTACAAAAGATCAAAAATCTTAACTATGGAACACCAATTACAAAATGTATAAAGAGAAAGGTTGTACTTACTAGGCAAAGCTAATAACAGTAGTCTTTCTTCACACGTTGTTTCTTGTTATTCCTTTTACTCAGTTAACCAATTCGAAGTGGACAGTATCTGGAACGTTTAATAGCAGCACTGATAATCCAAATTTCACTTTTCCGAAGAATTCACTTTTTCGAACTTTCTTCAGTCTTTTGAAATTTTCGCGACGGATTACGACTGTTACAACTCCCGAAACTTAAGCACTCTGAGCATCCGAACGACTGCGCCAATTATATTTTCGATTCAGAAACTTGTATTTTAAAAAAGATTTATTTTATTGATTAAAATACAGAGGTGACAAAAGAAAATATTCGGATCAAATTGCTACAGGCTAAAGCCAGAATTTAATTTAATGCCGACATAGCAATTTGATGTTTACTTTACAACAATGTATTTAAAAAGTCCTAGAGGAAAGGGGTAACCACATTAAAGCATATAAAAAATAGATAATTGATTATAAATCAGCATGGCAATTGGTTAATATAACTAGTATATATTTCAGAATCAAGTTTACATTTCAAACAATAACAACTATGTACCAGGGAGCAAGTTTGTACACAAGTACTTTTTTCTAATTTAAATATCGCATGGAATTTAGTTTGTAAGTTGTGTGTGCGTGTAAATTTATGCACGATTTTAAAGTTTATTTTTGTAATGTTGGAAAACAAACACGTTCTATTGTTGTAATTGCGCAATACCAGTTCGTGGTTTCAAATTAACCGTCTAATTAAAATAATCCATATCAATTAAATCAATCTATGTTTTTCTTAGAAGAAAAAGGTACTTACTTTTAACATCTCTATTGCTAATAACACAGTAAACACAAACACAAATTAATTAATTCACATTAATTTTGATGGCTTTCAAATAGCTATTTTGGATTTTGTTAGGATCGACAGTCAGTTTTCAATAATACAGGGTGATTTTGAAACATTTTTGAAAAAAAAAGACTCCGTATATGGAACCTGTAAATTTGAACCTTATACCGGGTGTCTCAGAAGTTTAGAATTAACTTTGTTTTAGAAACTTCATTTATTTCAAATCACCATCATCCACTTAAATTTGATTCAAGAAAATTAAATTGCATCAATGTGATATAAATTTTACATCTACTTAAGCATGACATTATGCATTACATTCAAGTTAAATTTTACCTTATTGTGATTAGAAAAAACTTAGAAATTATATTCATGTAGCTTTGTGTTTACTATAGAAACTGGTAGTAGCTGACATAAAAGTATAGCTCACATCTAAACTCGTATTTTAATAATCATTTTCCCGGACATGTATTGACGTAAATTACCAATTAATGATTTCATTATAAAATATTAACAATCAAAAAGATCGATACAAATAAGGGAACTCAACTTTCCATTATTATTTAGCCTTATATTTATTAATCAATACCGCATTGAATTTTACGAGAACAGTTTCACTTGATATATTGCAGTTGTAGTTTGTCACTGGTTATAAGAGCATTATTTTTTGTTTCAGAAAACCACCAATCAAAATGTAGCGTCGACTAAAAATGAAAGAAAAACGAAAACTCCTCTATCACCTAGTGCTGCTCCTAGCAACATTTATCTTAGGCCTAATTTTGTGGCTCAGCCTTATTTTACCATACTCAGAAGTCAACGACAACTTCACAGAAATACCTGGTTACGTGACGCATTCGGAACTGTACAACTTTACTTATCCTCTGAATCTTTTGCCTGGCAACGATTATGGATTATTGGTGAATAACAGTTTCAATTTCAGTATTTTGAATTTGGGCTGTAGCGAGCAAACGTTTTTGTTGGTACTCATACACTCCGCTCCAGGAAATTTCCAGAAACGAAACGTCATAAGGAGTACTTGGGGCAATAGAACAAAAAAGATTAAAATATTTTATGTAATGGGAAAAGCTTTATTAGACATACAGAACAAAATATTACACGAAAATCAAATAAACAAAGATATAATTCAAGGCAATTTTAAAGATGTTTACAGAAATTTGACTTTGAAACACATAATGAGTTTGAAATATGCAACTTACCATTGTCCTCAGGCAAAATATATTCTAAAAACTGACGATGATGTTTTCGTAAACATGCCCTTAATGCAAAATTTTGTAAATTTTGATTTGTCCCCTTTCGGCACCAGTAACTTACTATTTTGCTCAGTAAGAAAATCAGTAAGCGTTTTGAGAACGTACCGATCCAAATGGAGGGTGGGTTTCGAAGAATACCCTTGCAGAACTTACCCCACTTACTGCCCAGGCTGGGTAATACTTTACAGCCCCGACGTTGTATTCAAACTATACAAATCAGCTCAAAATACTGCAAATTTATTTTGGATAGACGATGTTCACGTTACGGGGATACTGGCGGCGAAAAATAACATTTCTCATACGGACAGTACGAATTTAATTATTTCCAAACGGGATCAGCACAGTTTGGTCGAGAAAAAAGTTTTTCCGGCGAAGCCTTTTTTGTTCGGCAGGCCCGATTTGGAAGCCGACGAAATTAAGAGTCTTTGGTCGGGGGTTAGCGCTCATAAAGTACCCAAATCGGCTTTAGGAGTTTGATTCAAATAATGTGATCCCAATACAATTATTGGACCAATCAGTAGATAAAATGAGTTAAAATATTTATGAGTAAAAGGAAACTTCAAAATCTCCTATCTCTGAGTTTTCTAAATCCGATCTCGCATGAGGTTTATAGTTTTTGAGAAAATTGAGTTTGGAAATTTATATTAATTTAAGATTTTCGCAAGTAGGTAGCCTTTGTGCAAATCGAATTCTTAAATTAAAAAAAAAAAACAACTAAATAATGTTAAAGCTAAATTTTAACTAGACTGTGGTAATAACTAATAATTTGTTAATGTTAAAAAAATTGTTGCCAAATATTTCTAAGTATAGTATTTTTAAAGTCAGTCGGAACAAGGTAAAAATTATTTGCAACTGGTGGCTGACTAGTGGCAGTGCATTTCTTATGGAAATATTCAATCACCAGTCGTTATTTATCTTCACCTAGTTTCAACTGACTTTATAAAGACTATACATAGATGTTTATTTATTGAATGGCTGTGCATGTGTAACTTAGACCTTTTAGGATGCCTATACCTACTTATAAAACTGATAATTAGAATTACATACATTATATTTTATACTTAAATACTTATATTTTGATTTGTAAGTACATATTTTTTTCTATTTTTGCTATTTTGAATTAATTTTTAAGTGTACTATTTTGGTTAATTTAGGTTTTACTCAGTATTAGAAACAAATTATTGTTTGGCAAATGTTTCATGACTTAGGTGAGAGCCCATAATAACAAAAATAGAAATATTTATTTTGTATTGTTTAGGAATGCAAAGATACTTTTGGGTCCATTGAAAGATGTACCTTCTTAGATGTTAGAAATGAAATAATTATAATAAAGAATTTATCACTGTATTATTTTTGTAATTTATATTGTGGCATCATTTTGGAAATGAAATAAAAATTCAATAGGTACAGACAAAAAAGGCAATTTCATAATGACTGATTTAGTTTTTATCTTGAAATTTGATTGCAAAACTTTGTTAAACATGTAAAAAATGCACAGAAATGATTAAGAGTTTTTACGGCACAGGAGCAAAGGCTTATTATGTCAAAAAAATTAAAACAAAAATTTATAAATAACAAAGGAAGAAACAAAAATTGAATAAGTAGCTACGAGGACGGAATACATTCCGACATGATTAACTTTAACACATTGCATGCCTCGCCAGTGCGACACTGATGTTTCCATTCTGGCCATGTCGGACATACAGGGTGACAATTTGAAAAATAGCAATCGGGAAAATCTCTTAGACAGATGATCGAAGATGCCGTGATGAGCAGTGATAGGCGTGCACAACACAGAAAGCAGAAATTTTACCAATATTTTTAGGCCAGTAGGTAAGTAATAAATAAAGGAGGTAGCTGGAAAGTATTCTGAAGTTAATGATATTTTGGCATGTCGTTTGTGGATGGTCTGTGAAGTAGAATCTAAGTTTCGACCTCGAGGCCCTGTGCTAACTTGGGGAAGAGTCGAGAAACCTAGAAATTTTCGAACTTTTTCTTTCAGTTTTTTTTTATAACTTCTAAACCATGCGTTTATACCGAAATACACCTATTAATAAAGTTGAAGAAAATTAAATTTCCTTCAAATTCAATTTATCAAAAGTTTAACGCAATAGTAACCGAGATACAGTGGTTCAAAGATAGAAAAAAAATGTCGACTTATTAAAAATTTCTTTCCGTCCGAACATAATGAGGCACTGGCACTATAGGCTAGGCAATGAAGGAAGTTTATCTCAACATAATTAGAAGTTAACATTTTTTTTGGGGGGGGATCGGTTCATTTCATGTGCTTAATAACATATTTAGTTTGCGAGTTGCGACCTCGTACTTCCATAGGGTTTTTAGTTAGGGGTGGTTTTTAGGGGTAATTTGCGGTTTATGGAAAACGCTGCTCAAAGGGATGGTCCAATAGCAAAAAGTTTTAAATGATTGTTGTAGCTGAAGTTTTTTGCTATAAAAAACTCAGCGACAGCACCCTTCTATCTTCTATATTTTTTTTTCTGCAGCGTCTTGAATACTAGCATGTTTTTATTCAAGGCCACTGAATTAACTTTTCACCTTGTTTGAAATTTAGAATAATATTGGCCTAGCTCATTGCCTAGCTCTAGACAAAAATTTAGAAATGTCAGAATGTCAGGTGAGTGTTTGTCATATTTTTGTTTTGACAAAAAAAAAACAACCCAGAGCATGGTGTGCGGTGTGGTTGTTAAGGGTTGAATTTTTGATTTTCCAGAGCAGATGTTTCAACAACAAGAAACATATTATTATTATCATTTTTATCAATAGAAGAACAAGTGTATTTTTTTAGGTCCTATGTTGGGCTAGTTCAATTTAATACAATAGTCATTTTAGAAAAGTCCACTGTGTATTATTCCTGGTCCAAGCTCCCTTTTCAGTTATCGAAGCAAGATTGGTGAGGTCAAAGCTAAAAACCACCTCATCTTTCTACATGGTCTCAACGAGTCGGATTCCAGATTTCAGTACAATTCCAATACCTTCAGGAAACAATGTACAGTGGAAAAAAGTCCAAGAACTAGGATACAACTTTACAGCTTGGAATAGCAAGGAGAAAAGGTCAAATCTTTATGCTTTTTTTTGCATGCTAGTGTTTTTTTCAACTGCATAAACTACTGAGTGGTTTCAAAAGAGACAAGTAGTGCCTTTTATTCAAATAACATTATTACAAGTTTGGTTTTTGTTCTCTGTGTGTAGTATGTAGGAAAGTTATTAATTTTCAAGGCCCTGCTATTTTTGCTCCAATTTATTATTTTGTGATTAAGAAATGGCTGTGGAACTACAGCAAGCCTTGAAAGCTAGGAAAAGTGCTAAGTCCGCTTTTACTAGAATTGATAAATTTTTAACATTAAATAAACACAATCTATTGCATAAATATGACTATCAGAGTAGGTTAGATTCACTCGAAGAAAATTATAGTAAGTTCAATTCTGCTCAAGATATTATTGAACTTAATGAAACTGATGTAGAAAAAATTGGTGATCGTGAGGAAACTGAGGATAAATTTTACCTGTTAAAGACCACTTTAAAGGTTTTGTTAGACGAGGCTTCTGGTAATGTTAATGTTAATAAAAACGCTGTACAGCAATGTAGTGTGAGCTCAAAGTTACCTGAAATTACTATAGATAAATTCACAGGTGCTCATCAAGTTTTTTTGATATATTCAAAGCCTTAGTTTTAGATAATCATAATTTTGCAGAGGTTCAAAAATTGATCTATTTAAAGTCAAATTTGAAGGATGAACCTTTGAAACTTATTGAAAATTTATCTTTAGAAGCTAGTAATTTGCAGGTAGCTTTGAATATTTTAAAAGAACGGTATGAAAATAAACTTGCTAATATTTATTCACATATTAAGGGTCTAATGGAACTTCCATCTATTAATAAAAGCAGCTCCACAAATTTACGTAAATTTGTGGTATCAATAAAGCAACATACAGAAAGTTTAAAAAATTTGAAAGTTCCTATTGACCAGTGGGATTTAATTTTAGTTTACACCCTGTCACAAAAACTAGACATATATACCAGACGTAGTTATGACTTAGAGAGAGGTCCATCATGCATGCCTACGTTAAATAATTTCTTAGAATTTGTGGAAAAGCATTGCCAAGTTGCAGAAAATTTGTCTTCCCCTGATTCTTCTCGAAAGCATTCTCATTTTGCAGAAAAAGAATCGCAGTCTTTCACCCAGTCACGTCCATCAGGGTCTCGTCATAATTGTTTACATTGTAAAGTGTCCAACCATTATTTACCCAAATGTTACAAATTTAAAAATTTGTCTGTTAATCAAAGAAAACAATTTGTTTTTTCTAATCGTTTGTGTTTTAAATGTTTTGGAGCACATAATGTCAAGCAATGCACCTGGAAAAATTGCCCTTTGTGCGGGGAGGCTCATAATACCCTGCTGCATAACCAAATCAGTGATAACTCTTCAGGGGCCAACCGGAACCAAGAGAGTCAGCAAGTTTCACATAACACTATTCAGTTAACACAGACAAATCAACCTAAGCCTACTGTTAGCAATGTAGCAAACAGTCAAAAAAATAATCAAAATTATCTATTAGCAGAGATCCCTGTAAACTCACAAACTGATAGTTCAGTCGCAGTTTCAAAGTCCAGTTTATTTGTAAGTCAAAAATCGCATGTTTTGCTAGCTACTGCCTCAGTGGATGTTTTAACTAATAATGGTACTATGATTCCTGTCCGAGCAGTTCTGGATAATGGCTCACAAGTTTCACTCATCACTCACAGGTTATCAAGAAAATTGGGTTACCCAACTTACAAACAAAATGTTTCAATTAGTGGCATTTCAGGAAAAATTATGTGTGGGGATTCTATTGATATTCATTTAAGTTCAAGTGTCGATCACAGCAAACAATTTAAAGTAACATGTTCAGTTACTGATTTAATTTCTTCAAATATGCCACAGTTTCCTATCAATAAGGAAAAACTAGAGATACCTGATACAGTTATTTTGGCTGATCCCAAATATTTTGTTCCTCAAGCTGTTGATTTACTTCTTGGCTCAGACATATATTTTAGTTTGATAACTCCTGGAATCATTAAACTTGGAACTAATCTGCCCGTATTGCAAAATACTCAATTGGGATGGGTGATAGGAGGTTGTCTCTCATCTCCCTTAATGTCAAATTTTATGTTTTGTGATCCACTTCAATATTCAACTTTATTTATTAATTCAAATCAAGTTGAAGATTTACTCCAAAAATTTTAGGTTTTGGAGGAAGTCCCACAAAAACAGATTTTATCAACAGACGAAGAAGCTTCAGAAGAAATATTCAGGAACACTACAAGAATACTTGAAAATGGAAGATTTCAAGTCAATTTCCCATTAAAATCTTTATCAGAAACGACCAAGTTGGGTGAATCATTTTCATTGGCCAAAAAACGTTCTTTTGCTTTAGAAAAAAGGCTTCATCAGAACTCTGAGCTATTCAAACAATATGGTGACTTTATTGATGAATATGTGAATCTTAACCACGCAAGGTATATTCCATTAAGTCTTAAAAACCAGAACAATGATCACAAATATTTCATTCCTCATCATTGCATTATTCGTAATGATAAAGTAACTACTCGTCTTAGGGTAGTTTTTGATGCCTCTATGAAAACCACATCAGGTTTTTCTGTAAATGACATTTGTTTCAAAGGATTGGTAGTTCAGCCAGAACTTTTTGATATTATTTGTAGATTCAGAACCTTTCCCTTTGTCATTGTTGCCGACGTTGAAAAAATGTATCGGCAAATTAGGATTAATTCGGATCAGACATACTTGCAAAACATTCTGTGGAGAAATGTCCTAATGATGAGTTGCAGTGCATTCAGTTACTCACAGTGAGCTATGGAACAAATTTTGCTCCATATGTAGCTACACGGTGTCTTTTGGAACTAGCTGAGTTTTATGAGAGCAAATTTCCTCTTGCTGCTAATGTCTTGCGAACCCAAACCTATGTGGATGATATTTTGGGAGGTGCAAACTCTTTAGATGAACTTTATCTCCTTAGAGATCAACTAATCCAATTGTTGAAGCTAGCAAAATTTAATCTTCATAAATGGTGTTCGAACTCAATTGAATTCATGAAAAATTTCAGTTCTGATGTAGATCAACAAAGCTACTCTTTTATTTCAGAAGGAAACTCTAATAAAGTCTTGGGTATTTTTTGGGATCCCAAGTTAGATTGTTTTTCAATTTCGCTTCCTAAAAACATTCAGTTCAGTTCAATCACAAAAAGAAATGTATTGTCTGCTATAGCGCAAATCTATGATCCTCTCGGATTTGTCGCTCCAGTTGTAATAATTGCCAAAATCTTTATACAGAAACTCTGGGTGGCTAAGCTGAGTTGGGATGATCCATTGACGATTGAATTAAAGGAGGAGTGGTCTAATTTTGCAAGAAATATTTCTGAGTTATCAAATCTGAAAATCTCCAAAGATTTAGTGGGCAATGATCAAAACAAAAAGATGGAAATTCATGGTTTTTCAGATGCTAGTTTAAAGGCATATGGTTGCTGCGTGTATTTAAGAGTAATCCATGGAAATGATTCAGCTTTCACTAATCTCATATGTGCCAAGTCTCGCGTCGCACCTCTTCGCACAATTAGCCTTCCAAGATTGGAGCTTTGCGGATGTGTACTTCTAGTACAGGTTACTCAAAGAATCCGTGAGATTTTCAAAAATCGGTTTGAAATTGAAAGTGTAAATTTATGGACTGATTCGCAGGTATCATTAGCATGGTTAAAGTCACATCCGAGCAAATGGAATATTTTTGTCTCTAACAGAGTATCTTTGATTCAAGAATACAGTTTTGACTGCATATGGAGGTATGTACCTTCAAAACATAATCCAGCTGATTATGTGTCAAGAGGCCTAAAGTCAAGTGAACTTATTAAATCCATTCAGTGGTGGAATGGGCCAGAATATTTGCAAAATCCTAACCTAGATTTAGACTCATATAATTTTACTCCTGAATTAAGGAATTTACCAGAAGAAAAAAAAGTTGTCCTAAGTACAGTGGTACATCAGAACGAAAATATTTTTCTTGAAGTCTTTAATAAATTCTCAGATTTTGTCAAACTGCAAAGAGTTATAGCAGTTTGTTTGAGGTTTCTTCATAATGTTAAATGTTCAGAAAATGAAAGAATTTATGGTCCTTCGAAAGTCTATGAGTTACAAAATTCCTTGTTTTTTATTATTAAAATCATTCAAAAAAAATATTTTTTCACAGAACTAGATAGTTTATGTAAAGGCAAGTTTGTGAAAAACAAATAAATAAGTTGTTTAAATCCCTTTGTTGATGACAAAGGTATAATGCGAGTGGGTGGAAGGTTGTCAAATGCACCTATCTCCTTCGATCAAAAACACCCTATTCTGTTACCTCCAAAATCCCACGTGACTAACTGTTTATTAAGACATGAACACTTCAGGCTGTATCATGCTGGCCCTCAAACAGTATTAAGTAATTTTAGGTTGCGATTCTGGCCGATAGATGGTTTGAGAGCTATAAAACGCATTATACACAATTGCATAGGTTGTTTCCGTTTTTCAGCCAAGGCAGCAGAACAAATTATGGGAAATCTTCCCAAGGATAGGGTTTCCATTGCTCGTGTTTTTCTAAAAACCGGTGTGGATTTTGGTGGTCCATTTTGGATAAAAGCATCTAATTTGAGACGTGCTCCTAAAATCAAGGCATATATTGCTATATTTGTTTGTATGGTGACCAAATGTGTACACATTGAGTTAGTGTCAGGACTATCAACGGAATTATTTTTATTGACTCTCAGGAGATTTATTGCTAGGCGTGGCAATCCGTTTGTTATTTATTCAGACAATGCAACAAATTTTTTGGGATCAAGCAATTATTTAAAAGAATTACACGATTTTTTTAAATCCAAATCGAATTTAGAGTCAATTGAAAGGTTTCTAGCAAAAAACGAGACTCTGTGGAAATTCATACCTCTACGTTCTCCTCATTGGGGTGGAATTTGGGAAGCGGCTATTAAGGGTGCCAAACATCACATTTTGAAGGCTATTGGTGAGAACCTGTTGACCTTTGAAGAGTTTAGCACTGTTCTTGCAACCATTGAAAGTATTATGAACTCGAGACCCTTAACTGTACTTTCCAATGATCCTTCAGATCTGAGCCCATTAACTCCAGGCCATTTTTTTGTAGGTGGTAGTTTAACTGCTTATCCAGATAAACCATTAATAGATGTTCCCAACAAGAGATTATCTAATTATCAAAAATATACCAAAATAAGGCAATTATTTTGGAAAAGATGGTCTATTGAATATTTAAACAGACTGCAGAATAGGCCTAAATGGTTGGTACAGTCTGAAAATCTTAAGGTTGATCAAATTGTCTTATTAAAAGAAGACAATTTACCCCCACTTAAGTGGTCACTTGCTCGGATTATTGAGCTCTCCCCTGGTCATGATGGCAAGGTATGTGTAGTTAAACTAAAAACGAAGGATGGAATTTTCATTAGATCCATAAAAAAGGTTTGTCCTCTTCCTGATTCCAATTGGGATGATTAGATTAGTGTAGTTTGGGTTAGTTATGTATTGTTAAGTCTTAGTTGTAGTTTGGGTTAGTTCTGTATTAAGTGTTGTAGCTTTGTGGAAAACTCCAAGGTGGGAGTATGTTTGAAATTTAGAATAATATTGGCCTAGCTCATTGCCTAGCTCTAGACAAAAATTTAGAAATGTCAGAATGTCAGGTGAGTGTTTGTCATATTTTTGTTTTGACAAAAAAAAACAACCCAGAGCATGGTATGCGGTGTGGTTGTTAAGGGTTGAATTTTTGATTTTCCAGAGCAGATGTTTCAACAACAAGAAACATATTATTATTATCATCACAGATTATCATTTTTATCACTAGAAGAACAAGTGTATTTTTTTAGGTCCTATGTTGGGCTGGTTCAATTTAATACAATAGTCATTTTAGAAAAGTCCACTGTGTATTATTCCTGGTCCAAGCTCCCTTTTCAGTTATCGAAGCAAGATTGGTGAGGTCAAAGCTGAAAACCACCTCATCTTTCTACACACCTGTTTACGCGGATTTGATGCAGCAGCGGCCAAATGCATAATCTGATTTCAATTTTTCAAACACCACAATATTGCTAATGGAATGCACTCTCCAATGCTTTTTTGTTCGAATTTTTCTCCTGAAAATTAAGTGAGCACGGACTTGCCTTATGTGCGAGGAAGTTGTAAATTGCATCGAAAACTACCTCTTTCTTGCATTCACTGTAATTTCTAAACGGGGCCAAATATTTGGTGACCAGTTTTCGACAATCGGCAGCCCATTTATTCCTCTCATAATGCTCCAGCGGATTTCTTTCTTCGTTAATTATTCAATGACTTAATTCTCCTACTCTCTAAACTGGCGATTTCATGCGGCACCTGGCGGAAATATTTGGAACTAACTTAAAGAGTAATAAGATCGTTTGTTTACATACCGTATTGGAATATTTTCTTGCTTTTTCGATGTTTTCTGTTGGTTCCTAATTTGAATTACGTGTTTCGTGTCGAAAAGTGGGAAACAATAAAGGGATAGCTTCTATTGTGATTCTGTGAGGTGCTATTATTACAGGAATTCAATGGCATCTGTCTTCAAGTCCAAGCATAACACAAACTGCTGTGTATACTAATGCCATTCCCGAAAAGGTGCAGACAAAACTATTCATTTTCATTATTTTCCTAAGAAAAATAGTGATCGTTTTCTACGCCAGCCTGCAGGTAGGATAAAACTGTGGCCAAACTCAAAAACAGGCCTCCATTTTCCATATTTCGTGTTGTATGGATACGAAATGCACAAAAGAAAGTCACAACGTTCAAAATTTATAAAATATAGTAAGAAAACACCGAAAAAACTACGAGAACAACAAGAAAATAAGCGAAAGAAATACGAATGCATATAAATACAATACTGAACGTAAAAATATTACTCGTTCTTCGCCATATTTGTTTACAAACGCCAGCGCCCCATCGGTAGTCGAAATCGCCAATATTAACGTCATTCGCATAGCCTAAAACATTGACATTTTTTGTCAAGAAACATAAGAAATTATTCGCCCCAAAATGAGTGCCGCAGACGAAGTGGCCACCCTTCTGATGCAAATCCAAAAGGCCGTGTCCCGTAGCGAGTCGATGGTGATACTGAAGTATCTGGATCACAACATTCAAAGCGGAGAAGAAGTTAGCCTCCAAAACCCTCTAGAGGCTCTGATACAGGAATTGTATCATTTAAAAAAAAGCTTGGACATCCAAGTGGGCATTGTAGAAAAAACCGAACTAATCAAGAACATTTTGAAATACAAATTGTACGAAATACGGTTCGAGTATCGGAAGGAAATTGAAAGGTTGCAGAAGAGACGCGAAAGTTTGGTTTCGAAATTACCCAAAGCGGGTTCAATTGTGTTAACTTTAAAAATAAAAGATACAGATGACAATATAGCCAACCTTGAAGAAACTCATTTAAAAAATGTAGATTTTATGAGAGAACAAAAAGTGCAAGCAGAAAAAGCTTACGGACAAGCCGTGCTGGCAATGGACCATAATTTAGCAAAACTAATCAAAGGCTATAATATATTTTCAAGTCTAATCGAAGCTGAAAAATCCTCACTAAGCCATCACGAAGCTCAACTTCTAGCCTCAAAGTTTTCTGATGAATTTGCCGTATTCAAAGCTGCTATTGAACGATTCACTGAATTACAAACAACAGGGTGGAAAATTGTTTATCAAGAAGAAAAAATAGTAGACATGTTACAGGAAAGAGGCCTGAAAGTGCTGCTCACAGGCGAATTAGTCACCGACGATGGCCATCAAATTACTTTTCGACAAGCTAGAGACTCCAAACTGTTTGATAACATCGGCCCAATTTTTTTAAAAGTAATACGAAATCATTTAAACGAAGAACCCGGTTCGGATGAGGATTCCTCCAGCAGCCGATCAACATTGTCGAGACAATCAAGCTCAGCAGAGAGAATTCCTAGAGTATTTTCAACAGATATCACGTTCTTAAGGGACCGTTTGGGCAAACCTTTGACGTTGGCCTTACACGAAGTGGTCACCATACAGCCCTCAGAGCCCATTCATTATCTCAGCCATTGGCTGTTCAAATATCGCTATAATTCGCAAATCGAAAATCCCAACAGCGAACAATATGAATATTTAAATAATAAAAGGAATCAGTTGATTGAAGAAAAGTCGAAGAAAAGGACTACGGATGAAGTTATGGCCACTATTTTGGAGATGGTGGATACCGCTGCGGCTATTGCTGCTATGAATGCTTTTATCACAAAAAAAGAGAAATAGTTTAACTAATTAAAAATCCTTCTAGCAATTTATCGCATTTAAAGTTGTATTTCAGGCAAATTAAAAATAAAAAAAAATATGAAATTTTTGATAGTAGGAAATTAATTAAATTTGAATTCACATTGGTCAAGTTACTTCAAGTTCACATCTTTAAAGGGGGTGTGACCCAAAAATGAAAGTTTTAGTGCAAACAAAATCTAAGAATAAATATTTAAACCGCATCTTGTTACGATGATCCGTTTTCGAGTTAGGGCGGTTTAAAGATACAGCTAGGTTTTTGTGACGTCACACTGGATTATCAGGGACAGTATTAACACGTGCAAAAATGTTCTAAAATAAAAGAGAATTATCTCCTAGAGCAAATCGCAACCACTTAAAGTATGGGGTAGGGTTCACTGACGACTGAACGGACAGAAGACTGCGATTTCGGCGGTTATGACATCACAAGCTCCTGCATAATTTATCTTCAAATGGAATTTTCTCAGATACTATTTTGAATGTCACACCCCCTTTAAGTCAAATCATCTCTCGATATTTACATAATAAGCTTCTGCTACGGTATACCAAAGTTTTTCTCGTTTGAGTTTTATAGTGGCGATTTCGACTACCGATGAGGGCGCTGGCGTTTGTAAACAAATATGGCGGGAAACAAGTAATATTTTGACGTTCAGCATTGTATTTATATGCATTCGTATTTCTTTCGCTAATTTTCTCGTTGTTCTCGTAGTTTTTTCGGTGGTTTTTTACTATATTTTTTAAATTTTGAACGTTGTGACTTTCTTTTGTGCATTTCGTATCCATACAACACGAAATATGGAAAATGGAGGCCTGTTTTTGAGTTTGGCCACAGTTTTATTCTATCTGCAGGCTGGCCTAGAAAGCACGATCACTATTTTTCTTAGGAAAATAATGAAAATGAATAGTTCTGTCTGCACCTTTTCGGAAATGGCATTAGTATACACAGCAGCTTGTGTTATGCTTGGACCGCTTGGACTTGAAGACAGATGCCATTGAATTCCTGTAATAATAGCACCTCACAGAATCACAATAGAAGCTATCCCTTTTTTATTTCCCACTTTTCGACACAAACCACGTAATTCAAATTAGGAACCAAAAAGAAAACATCGAAAAAGCAAGAAAGTATTCCAATACGGTATATTAACAAACGATCTTATTACTCTTTAAGTTAGTTCCAAATATTTCCTCCAGGTGCCACATTGATTTTTGAAATCGCCAATGACATTGGCCGCCATTTTGATTGGATTGTCCTATTGTGCTGTGCAGTGCTGCGCGTATACACGTCATCCGCAGTGAAGGTTCCTAAAGGTAATAAGGTTGTCTGGTAATGGGTAATTTGATGACGCATTTGGGGGTGCCTTATGAAGATTTGCATTATGTTGAGGCATCCCAGTCCCCGGATGACGTCATAAAAGTTATCAGGCAACATAACCTCTCTCGAACAACCTTGATCTCTCTTTTTGCTGCAATCCATGAAGTTCTACAAAGTACAGACAAATCGTTTTTTTCCGTTAAAAACGAGACTTTGTCGCAATTAGAACGGCTCCCACAACTAAGTAGATACAATACATACCGTATGAATTTTCAAAAAAATCAACACCTTACAGACTTTATAGAAATCAAAAATCGCAATAAAACGTAGTGCGTATGGCATTGGCGTCCATTTTGAATTTCTTGTTGACAGGTCGTTGGATTGCCCTAATTAGGCAATCCAAGCCACGCGACATTCAAGATGGCGTGACGGCCACACAAGGGCCAAACTTAATTTTTTAGTCGTGTGCTGTCTGTTGTTTTTTCGGAGTTTCGCAGTTTTATGTGCTTAAGGGGTATTTGTGAGGGGTAAATCTGTTAAGTGCAATACGACAAGACATTATCATTATGCAGAGCCCGTATTTGCAAGAACTTGGTGCCCAGTCAATATTATCCATACCCTCTAACTTACTTATTGGTTTTTCTGTTATAAAATCATATATGATGGTTGAAGAGTAAGACATGATTCAAAATAGTACTTACTCTTACTGAACTGCGCACGCTTGGGACCCTGTAGGTTTGAGACACATTGTCCATTTCTTCGAGGCTTCCACCTTCCACATCCCACAACCACACTTTATTCGGCATTTTTACAACACTAAAACTATAAAACACGAAAAGATATCCAGTTTCCTCCTCCCGACTTGATAGGCTACGCAGGTACCTTCTCAACAAATATTTTATTAAATAATAAAAATCATACTTGCGAGCAAAAGATGAAGCTAAATAACTGAAATACGAATCAAAAACACATATTCAAAATGAACTTGCTTGGCCGCCACGCCATATTGAATTATGGTTAGCTGAAACCCGTTTTTTGACTGTATTTTTTTTTCCCAAACAACTCTTATTCCAAATTTGAGAATTCTAGCTCAAGTAAGAACGTCAGAATGGCGTGGAACGACATCTAAACTTCTTTAGCAAATTATATATGTAGATTATTTCCTTGTATCAAATACTTAAGTACTTACAGTACTCATTTAAAGATTAGATTCAAATTTTCTTTTATACTGGATATTTTCCGAATCAGTAGGTGTCTCAGCTATGCTGAGGGCGAGTTCTCTTGAGCGTAAGTTGACATTTCTGGCGTAATTACGTGATAATAAGGTGTAATTTGATTGGTAAAATATCCAGCATGGCAAATATTTTACCAATAAACCCAACCATTTTATCACGTGATTTACGTCAGGTATGTCAACTTACGCGCATGAGAACTCGCCCTAACAATGAGTATGCAATGTATTTATTTCAAGTTTGTCCGATAGTTTCACCACAAATAAAGCAGCCTACTTTAGGGAAGGAAATGAACAGGAAATAGAACTCATTCAATTTTAATTGAACCGCCCTCAAAATTATTTGCAAGGTACCCTAAACGGTGCATATTGGTACTACCCCTATAACTCCTTGTACCATTTGTACCCGAGACTAGGGTGGAAGGAAATGTCCATATTTTCACAAAAACCCTTTTTTCGATGAATCGCGATTATTAGTTTTACCCCCTCAAACCACCCTCAATGTTATTTGCAACTCTTTTTAGGTACCTACCCTTAACGGTGTATATCGTTGGGTACACTCGATCGACCTATGAACGAATGGAGAACCATACTGAGGAAAACCACCTATTTAAAATATTATTTCTCCAAATTTTAACTTTAAATCGGTTACTGAATAAAAGTAAATGATGCAACCATGTCTGCGCCATCAAATTTATGTTTGAACGGAGCGCGCCACAGAAAATGAAGGTACCGAAACCGAAGAGGATATAAGAGAAGAGGCGATTAGGCATTAGAGAGAGACTTGAGAACAAGCTGGGACTGGTTCCTTTAGGCGCGTGTCTGTAATTATTCATTATTCAATTTTCATTTCTATTTTGCATTAAAATTGATTGTTCAATCCAATTTGTTATTAGTGTGTGTGTAAGGAGCGTTCACAGGTTAGTAGATTAAATGTTATTTTGTTTATGCAAGTTCCTATTATTTTGTTCGTTTTTATGTATTTTTTGTTTGTTTATAACATTTTTTTTAACGTGCATTGTTTATGTATTCAACCAAAATCGTTTTATGCTGTAAACAACACAGATAAAGAGTAAGAAGAAGAAGTTAAGTGCTGTCTTTTTGTGCTAGGATTTTGATTTTGTGTATTTAGAGAGTGTATTAGGGCCTTGTTGAATTTACTAACATTTTCCTACCGTGATGAGAGAATATCCTAACAAATTGAAATAATCAATCTAGAGATATTGGCTCAAAAACAACTATAGCTGAGCAGCTTCCCGTATGGGACCTCAGTATCCGCTGGGAAACTGGCTAACTAACAAAAAAACTCTTCAGTATTGAATATAGGTAGTGTTGATTGAATCTAGTGTGTGTAATTAAAATTTTAGCATAAGAACAGGAATGGTACCTAATTTAAACTTTTATTATTGAATTATTGACTTAAAATTATTATTAAAATGGTTCTTTTATGTTTCGATTTTTGAGGAATGTTAGATCGAGGGTTTCTCTGCCGTTCTCTTTCCCCTCGAAAATTCTAGGTCGAGAACGGTACGATTTACTTTAATAGTAAAGTAGACGTTTCACAAATTTTTCGTTTCTTTTACATACCACAACTCCCTTAAATTTCTTAAATATTTGCTATGTCGGGCGCATGTCCAGTAAGTAAAATTGAGTAAGTTTCCACAACGTAGGTCCTATTTGTTTTTCATTTCATTTTTCAGAAGATTTGTTGTTTAAAAGGTAAAGACTGTTTTTTTTTTTTAAGATAAAAGTCAAAATGACATTATGTTGGCAAAACAATGTAAAATTGTCAATGCTTTCAAATTTTTAATGTAGAAAAGCTTTGTGTTGCCAACATAGTTACTAAATTTTTGACTTGGGGAATTATCTTTAAAAAAAAACAGACATTAATAAAAATTCTCATTGTTCAATCTTACTGAACGAACCCAGGTATGTTATACTACAATACGAAAATATACAAAATTGTATGATTATTCAAAAACTGTACATAAGAAACTGTATGATCATTCAAAAATTGTACTTAGGATTGAATTCATACATCATGGAAAGGTTGAGGAAATAGTCAGAAATAGGAAAATACCAACGGCGTATCATAGTAACTGGGTTCAGGTTATGTATTATTGAACCTTGATTTTTGACTGCGTTAATTTGCGAGCGACACGAAAAAGCAATATTTCAACTTTGACTTGACTTTGTAAAGAAGCAAATACAGCTTTTTCTAGTTTAGATAGCTCTTCCAAAGATGCTACGAAAGTTACTACAGAAACTTCAACTTGGTGCTTTGGGAGCTTTTAAATACATACATCATTCAGACTTTCTAAGACAAAAACGCTAAACGCTCTTATAAGTGAGATTCATCACTCCAAAGACACTAGAGCTATTTTAATTTTTGTGAAGAATCAATCGAAGTACTCCAAAGACATAAAACCATAGACATTTTATGGATGTAGGTAAAAGGTTTTCAGAGATCCTCTTTCCAATACTAACTAAAAATTTACTGCGAGCAAAATTCTAAAAAAACCTTTATTTCAGAACATTGCACATTTTTCTGGAACAAGGTGTAGATATTTTTTCCAATTTTTCAAAACCCAATCCAGAGTTCGTTATGATCTGAGTTTTAGGATTGCGCAGGCCACTCCCAATCATTTTTAGTGTCACAATTTTCCCGTGGCAGGCAGCTGATTTTCCAGACCGTGCCAGATTTTTCAGTTGCCTGGATGTTTCCACAGCGGGCGCCGACGGTCTGACGCGCCCTGTGTCCGAACGATTTTTATTATTTCGTGTCCACCAACCTACGATGAATAATATTTGTAAGTTTTTGCTCAATTCTCAAGTCAATTGTGATATTGCTGGATGAAATGTTTTAGGTTTAAATTGTGTGCATGATTTTAACCTGTAGAGGCGATACTTTATTTCTATTTTGAGTCAAGTTTGCGCTTTCTTAACTATAATTAGTCCATAGGCAACAAATTGATTGATTCTATTGCATACAAAAATGTCATGCACCAAAAATTGGATGCTGCTGTTGTGACCTTGGACCTTCTCATCTCTCTCAGTTGCTCCGGTTTTGAATCGCGTATCGATTTTTATTGTTTTAAAGGTCAGGGTATTGCTAAGAGACGCTCTGTTTCGTCTGAAAAATAAACATTGCAGATGCTTTAGAAGAAATTTCATTGAGATTTTGCGATATTTGGGGCTTGAACAAGAAATTACCTTATGAAAATATTCACCAGATAAGACTGAAGTTATTTATTATTATTGAATCGATTCAACAATAATTAGTTATCTATCCATTTTCATTAAAGAATTTTAGATTTGTTGGAATCTGACCATCGTTGAATTACCTTTACCTAACCATGTTCTGAATACTAAAGTTTTGACTGAAGAGAGTGCTGACCTAAATGTACTAACAATATTTTCTTATTTTCACTTATATAATGTAAAAATCTTTTGATTACATTTTTGATTTGTTGGTGTTTGAGCTTCAAAAGTCTGACCATCGTTGAATAACCTTTACCTAACCATGTTCTGAATGCTCAGTTTTTGACTGAAGAGAGTGCTGACCTACGTGTACTTACAATTTTGTTCTCATTTTCACTCATATAATGTAAAAATCTTTTGATTACATTTTTGATTTGTTGGGGTTTGAGCTTCAAAAGTATAACCATCGTTGAATTACCTTTACTTAGCCATGTTCTGAATGCTAAGGTTTTGACTGAGGAGAGTGCTGACCTAAATGTACTCACAATTTTTCCTCATTTTCACTGATATAATCTAAAAATCTTTTAATTACATTTTTGATTTGTTGGGGTTTGAGCTTCAAAAGTCTGACCATCGTTGAATTACCGTTACCTAACCATGTTCTGAATTTTAAGGTTTTGACTAAGGAGGGTGCTGACTTACATGTACTAACAATTTTTCCTTATTTTCATTAATATAATCTAAAAATCTTTTGATTACATTCTTGATTTGTTTGGGTTTGAGCTGCAAAAGTCTGACCATCGTTAAATTACCTTAACCTAACCATATTTTGAATGCTAAGGTTTTGACTGAGGAGAGTGGAGAGTGCTGACCTAAATGTACTTACAATTTTTCCTTATTTTCATTAATATAATTTAAAAATATTTTGACTACATTTTTAATTTGTTGGGGTTTGAACTTCAAAAGTCTGACCATCGTTGAATTATCTTTACTTTACCATGTTCTGAATACCAAGGTTTTGACTGAGGAGAGTGCTAACTTACATGTACTTACAATTTTTCCCTGTTTCCACTAATATAATCTAAAACTCTTTTGATTACATTCTTGATTTGTTGGGGTTTGACCTTCAAGTCTGACCATCGTTGAATTACCTTTATCTAACCATGTTCTGAACGCTAAGGTTCTGACTGAGGAGAGTGAAGAGTGCTGACCTAAATGTACAGGGTGTTTCAGATTCGACCCACATCATTGGAATCTCGGAAACGGTAAGATATACAGGGCTGGTTAAATGGGGGCAAAGTTGCGTGATTTGATGCTTAACAAAATTCTGCTTTGATATTCAGTATATTCCGAATACTTCCGGAGATATCCGGAAAAATTACATTCTTGATTTGTTGTGGTTTGACCTTCAAGTCTGACTGTCGTTGAATTACCTTTACCTAACCATGTTCTGAATAATAAGGTTTTGACTGAGGAGAGTGGAGAGTGCTGACCTAAATGTACTTACAATTTTTCCTTATTTTCACTAATATAATTTAAAAATATTTTGACTACATTTTTAATTTGTTGGGGTTTGAGCTTCAAAAGTCTGACCATCGTTGAATTATCTTTACTTTACCATGTTCTGAATACCAAGGTTTTGACTGAGGAGAGTGCTAACTTACATGTACTTACAATTTTTCCCTGTTTCCACTAATATAATCTAAAACTCTTTTGATTACATTCTTGATTTGTTGGGGTTTGACCTTCAAGTCTGACCATCGTTGAATTACCTTTATCTAACCATGTTCTGAACGCTAAGGTTCTGACTGAGGAGAGTGAAGAGTGCTGACCTAAATGTACAGGGTGTTTCAGATTCGACCCACATCATTGGAATCTCGGAAACGGTAAGATATACAGGGCTGGTTAAATGGGGGCAAAGTTGCGTGATTTGATGCTTAACAAAATTCTGCTTTGATATTCAGTATATTCCGAATACTTCCGGAGATATCCGGAAAAATTACATTCTTGATTTGTTGTGGTTTGACCTTCAAGTCTGACTGTCGTTGAATTACCTTTATCTAACCATGTTCTGAACGCTAAGGTTCTGACTGAGGAGAGTGAAGAGTGCTGACCTAAATGTACAGGGTGTTTCAGATTCGACCCACATCATTGGAATCTCGGAAACGGTAAGATATACAGGGCTGGTTAAATGGGGGCAAAGTTGCGTGATTTGATGCTTAACAAAATTCTGCTTTGATATTCAGTATATTCCGAATACTTCCGGAGATATCCGGAAAAATTACAGTCTTGATTTGTTGTGGTTTGACCTTCAAGTCTGACTGTCGTTGAATTACCTTTACCTAACCATGTTCTGAATAATAAGGTTTTGACTGAGGAGAGTGGAGAGTGCTGACCTAAATGTACTTACAATTTTTCCTTATTTTCACTAATATAATTTAAAAATATTTTGACTACATTTTTAATTTGTTGGGGTTTGAGCTTCAAAAGTCTGACCATCGTTGAATTATCTTTACTTTACCATGTTCTGAATACCAAGGTTTTGACTGAGGAGAGTGCTGATTTACATGTACTTACAATTTTCCCCTATTTCCACTAATATAATCTAAAACTCTTTTGATTACATTCTTGATTTGTAGGGGTTTGACCTTCAAGTCTGACCATCGTTGAATTACCTTTATCTAACCATGTTCTGAATGCTAAGGTTTTGACTGAGGAGAGTGATGGCGGTTCAGATAAAATGCTACAATTTTTGTATTTACACCTTTCACCTATCACCTATAATTACGGCTGCAGGTGGGTGTCAAAATATAGTGACTCACCCTGTACATTGCAAGTACTATATATTTTCTACTTTCAATCTTCCATGACTGTAGACTCTAAACTGTATACTGTATCTCTACCTGATTGTAATTTGCTTAAATAGTTTCAGTTCCCCCATTCGATCATAATGAATACGCGTGATTTCGATACGTTTGCCTGAATTCCTCTCCAGCTATTTCTAAGAAATATAGGTAGGTCATTGGAATCAATTTTTTTATAATGGAGGTCCTACTTTATCTGTCTCACTTATTTCCTCAATATGTTGTAATCACAAATAAGTAGTTTGTATTTGCAAATAGCTGTTTATCTTCATTCTAGAACAATCCAGAAAAGTGTCAACGATAAAAATAAGTCATGGCAGTCCAGATTCTGGACCAAGATCACTTCGCCATCAGCGCCATAGTGACCGTCACTTTGCAGGTGATCTTTTTCCTGATCGTCGCCCTCTTCGAAATCGACAAGGTGACAGATTTTGCTGGCGGAATCAATTTTATGATTCTGGCTTTGCTCACTTTCTTTTTAGGACAAGGAGGAAACAAAGTACGAAATAATAATACCAATCTTGTCTCTTTTGCAAATTAAAATTTTTATTTGTAGAAATCCTACGATAGCAGGCAATTAATGGTGACAATGTTCGTTTGTATATGGGGCATAAGACTATCTGGATATTTATTGTACAGGGTATTAAAAATAGGAAGAGACAAACAATTCGAAGATGCCAAAAGTAACACTATTAGATTTGCAATATTTTGGACGTTCCAGGTAAGAATCAAGCTGATAAAATTGAATTCGATTTCATATATTATTATTTCAGGCTGTATGGGTTTACGTCGTCAGTCTTCCAGTAATTATAATCAATTCTCCACGTCACTCCATACCACTGGCGCCTAAAACTATGACCACTTTGGATTCGACAGGCACCGGTTTATTTATCGTAGGATTTCTAGCGGAAACTTATGCGGATTTGCAAAAGTTTTCGTTCAGACAGGATCCACTCAATCAAGGAAAATGGTGCAATGATGGTCAGTATTATTATAATTTTGTCGACAAATGAGTAGTTTTAATTATGTTTCCTTATAGGTTTATGGAGACTGTCCAGACATCCCAACTATTTCGGTGAAATCGTGCTTTGGTGGGGCATATTTGTGATATCTCTGAACGTTCTGGAAGGGATTGAGTGGGTTGCTATAATGTCTCCTTTATTTACCAGCTTGATTATTTTGTTTATGTCTGGAATTCCTTTACTGGAAAGGAGTTCAGATGAAAAATATAGAGAGTAAGTATGGATTATGTCAAATTGTTAGAAATTTCTTCAGAGATAAGTGATACCTAGTTTCTTGAATACATTTTTCATTGCCAGTTTGAAAGGTTTCTAGGATATCACATCTCCTTGTTTAACCCTTCTTCTGAATACGAATATGTTCCTACTTTTACCATAGAATCTAGTTTATTTCGTTTTTCGTCATATAATCATCTGGTGATGATGATATCCAGCTCTAGTTTCTATTGGGAGTTAAAAAGTTGCTATAAATAATATTTTTTAGATGAATCTGTCATTTGCTCCTCACAATTTAATTATCTTAGCCTTGCTTTTAATGTCTTTTCGATAATTTATGCGGGTTCATCTTTAGGCTTAGGAACCTCGTGATTTCACAATTGTGCTTAGTATTTGAAAGTAGAGTAGGGAATCTAATTTTGGGTGCTTTTATAGTTTCCGGTATAACGATTTCGATTTCCGAGAAATCTTTTTGCAGCTGGATCGGTTTATTGGTAAACTTTTGAGTGGCACGTGCTCACTTGATCAATCTTGAAGTCGGAGACATCAATTATATTGAATAGGTTGGTTAAGATAATAAAGCCGGGTTCTCACTAGGCCATTTCATAGATCAGTATTATTGAATCTATAGGATTGAACATAGAATGGAATGGAAAATTTGTTCACATTTTCCAATAACATTGAAGATCTAGTGTGTTTTAAAAATGGCTGCAAAGAGGAAAATTCTGCGGGCCGGTGTTCGTATTTTTGTGAGTATTTAAAAACCCCTATAAAAAACAGGAAAATTAGAAAACTTTGTCGTTGGTGGGTTAGACCGTGGATAAAACAACGTACCTATATATGAAGGTGCTTCTGTAAAGCTGACAAAAGAATGGGGAACAGGTGACCAGGATGCTTATGGGAACCACTTAAGAATGACCGAAGAGAAATTTGAAGAACTTCTACAGAAAGTGTTACCCTTGATACAGAAAAAAAAATACTCCATTAAGGGACGCTCTTCCAGCAAGACTCAAATTACAAGTAGTTTTAAGATATTTAGCTACTGGAGATTATTTTCCGTCTTTGGGTGCACTGTACCGACTGCCCAAAAACACTATCTCACAAACATTTTAAATGTAACGAGCGGTTCGGTTTTGATTCTAACCTCAAAATAGTCAAAATAGACACACCGGCAGTTCAATGCGGCTGAACACGCTCGTTCTCACGGTCAATTACCGTTCAATTTAATTGAATCAATCCCGTTGATCCATGAAAAGTAGAAATACCTTCCAATTTGATTGAAACACAAAATCATTGAGCAATATCATTGAATGGATGTTTACATCAGTCTATTTTACTTCAATGGCATGGATTCAATGATATTGATCTATGAAATAGCCTAGTGAGAACCCCGCTTAAGAGTGGCTGATTTGATTTTATAGAAATATTTTTAATCCATTAAATCCAAAGACAAAAAAAACCTAATCATCTGAAGGTTTCAGCAATATTTTCACTAACAAAATCCAATCATTTTTCCAGTGACTCCGAATATCGTTACTACAAATCTTCCACGTCGCCGTTAATACCGATCCCGCCGTCAATCTACGAAGAAGTACCGCAATTCCTGAAATTCATCATTTGCTGCGAGTACCCGCTGTACGATTCGCTCAACGAAAAAACCAAAACGTCGCACATCATCAAGGAATCGACCAGCACGAATCTGGCGCAGTCTGACGTCACATAGCTGTAGCTAACGGCTGCTGACGTGCCGCAAATCAGCGTCACCGCCGAGCAGCCCGTTGGACGGTCGAATTATTTTTTGGGCGGACTTTATGGGTACAGGAACCAGAATCCTCCTGAGTATATCGACGACGAGGAGGATTATCGATGCTACCAGAGCAAAGACTATGAGTTTAAAAATATTAGCGTGGTGGTTAACGAGCATTGTTCACAAGTTTCTGAGGTGTAGCTTTAAGAGTATATTGAGAGGTTAATTTTCTTACATATCTCCGTATACTGCCTAGCTAAAAGAGGCTCAAAAAAAAGTATTATTGTATTATACCTACTTGAACTTAGTATATATTATGTAGTACCTACATAGTATTATTTGTGACTTCGTGTTCTTTTTTGTGATATTCTCTAACAATTTTTGGTAGTACCTACCTATGTATTAGTAAATGGTAATCGAGAAATTCTATGTATAGTTCATTGTTCAGGGCAGAAATTTGTGTGTGCCTGTTAAATTAATATCGATGTGTATTTATCCTACTTATCAGTGATAGACTGAATAATTCAATTCATATCAACATTCTTGTATTTGCGATATGACCGAGTAGCAATAATCTAGTTTTCTGACATAGCTTTTGACGTCGCCAAAACTTCCTTATTCTTCTCTGTGTATATTAAATTGTATTTTTAGATTCTACTATTTTTAGAGGAAGAAAACTAGTAAATTGAAAAGTGAAATTATTAAAGTATATTAATTATAAGACTAATAAAAAAATGAATCAATTTTCTCTTATGTTTTTAATAATAGATTTCTGGTACTAGTTTATTTATTTGTGAAAATGTGGACATTTCCACCTTAGTCTCGAGCACAAATGATATAGGACCTTAGACAGTACCGATATAACGCCATTGGTATTTTCCTGTTTCAGACTATTCCCTCAACTCTTTGATGTTAGTATGAATTCAATCCTATGTACAGTTTTTGAATAATTATACTCAGTTTTGTATATGTATTTTCGTATGGTTTTTCACAGTACCTTCATATGCAATGTGCCCAAGATAAGGAGGGCCAGTAATTGCTGTATCTTCCATACTCCTCATTCAAACTCATTCAATTTGGGTTTATTTGAAAGAGAATTTCATTTTTATTAAGAACACCACTTCGTTCGAGGTCGATAGTTCCCACCGCGTCTGCTAGAGGGCGCTGTCTATTCAAGATCCAGTTTTTTCTAATTTTCATGAAAAATACAAATGACATAATATTATTTTTGTATTGCTGTGCTTAGAGAGCAAAAAAATATCTAGATTTTGGCGCAAACCGCAATTCAATATCTGCATTTGTTTTCAAGTTACGTGAGGTCTATGGTCTCCAAAATATCGTACCTAGCCGACCTTAGTGGGACACCCTGTACATAACATATAACGACAGAGCAGAGATAATGGGTTTAGGATTTCAGAAATAAAAAATAAAACTCCCTTTCTGAAAAAATTATGCCGACGTTTCGACCATGCATTTGGCCTTCTTCACAGGTTATTTTTACCAGCAAGAGCGTTCCATGTCAAAAAATACTGCATAAAGCATTTCACAACACAGAGGAACAAACAAACATCCATTCTTGAATTTGAATTTTCATTAACGGAACAGGAAACTTGACAAACACACCATATAATTGCCATTCTGTACCAAGGATTTTTTTAAAATTTGAACCATAAGAATAAATCTACCTTACCTACCTGAGCATTCAGGCCAGACAAAGGTTTTCGAGAACCCTCACATAGCCACATAGCTCATTTGAATTTCATTGGCCTATTCCATTCACAATAATTAGATTTCGTTTCCTTTGAGTTAGATGTGGGGTTTGTGTTTCGGTAGAGAGTAGAGAGTTTCTTATTTCATTTCAAAACTACTTCATTTCTGATTCTACAATTCTATTGGTGGGCGGTTAACTGGTCGACCAATGGGGAAACAGATTGCGTTTTTATTCGTCATATTGCATATCTGACAGTTTATCAGAAGGTGAATAAACCGGCCTTAAAAGATATCAAAAGTAGATACAAGAATTTGCATATTTTTATAAATATTGAGTCGATTTTTCTTTCCAAGACCAAGACCAACACCAAGACGAGAGTTTCGAGAGAGAGTCTTGGTCTTGGTCTTGGTCTTGAACGTCAAGTCTTGGTCTTGGTCTTGAGAAGATTTATTAGGTCTTGGTCTCGGTTTTGCTACCAAGACCAAGACAAGGCCAAGACTAGTTTTGTGGTCTCGCGAAGCCCTATATGCTTGCAATATATTCTAACATTGATGCGGACTCAGTGGAGTGTAAGACTACTACACCTTTTCCAATTGTAATTCAGAAACAGTTACATGTATTTCAGAAACCGTCAATAATGTAATTGAGAATAGTAAAATGTTATTCAGAATGTGTTAATTGTAATTGAGAATAGTTAAATGTAATTGAGAAAGCGTCAAATGTAATTGAGAAAAGTCAAATTTTATTGAGAATGCGTTAATTGTAATTGAGAATAGTCAAATGTAATTGAGAAACCGTCAGATGTTTTTGAGAATAGCTAAATGTAATTGCGAATGCGTTAATTGTATTTCAGAAAGCATCAAATGAGATTCAGAATAGATCAAATGAAATTGAGATCATGCAAGATTCGAAACTGTATAGCGTGTAAGCATTCGCAATTTGTGATTCGCATCTATAGGAACTACGCTTTAGACAAATCATTCAGGGAATGTCTGGATCAGGCGCCACAATTTTAAGACTACCTCCTTATTCGCCAATGCTGAATCCCATCGAGAACATTTGGTCCAAAATAAAAACTTATGTTAAACGTGAACCAGAAGTGAATGGGCCTGGAGTAGTTGAACAGCGATTGGCTTATTTAGAAGAGATAGTAGACCATTCTCATAGTCTTGCGAGTTTTACAAACATCGTTCAGTGCGAATTCTTTTAAACTGTTAATTTTCAATTCTTGTAGTTAATGGTGACTGTGCCCGCGCTGGACAACATTCGACAACGTTCTATGAGGCGGCTTTAGCTATGCAACCAATGTTTATTGGACGATAGTTTTGAGAACTGTTTGTTTTTTAATTAGGATTTTATGTAACTTTCATTTTAATAATAGATAAAGTTCCGATATCCCCACAAATTTTCACGAATTTGTGTGACTTTGTATGTATATGAAATTTTCGCATTTTCATTATCTCAATTTCATTTGACCTATTCTGAATCTCATTTGATGCTTTCTGAATTTCATTTAACGTTTTCTCAATAACATTTGACTGTTTCTCAATTACATTTGACTATTCTCAATTACAATTAACGAATTCTTAATTACATTTAACTATGCTCAATATTATTTGACGGTTTCTCAATTACATTTGATTATTCTCAATTACATTTAACGCTTTCTCAATTACATTTCACTATTCTCAATTACAAGTGACAGTTTCTGAATTACAATTGGAAAAGGTGTAGTGCTGAGTTGTCTGATCATGAGGCTGTACACTGTTGCTTCCCCTTTAATGTACCGGGTGATTGTCTATATTTTGCACCCACATCTATCTCACCTTTTTGGACAGATACCAAGAAATGTCAAATGTGAAAGTTTTCAATGATGGTAGTTACAAGTATACAGGGTGTTTCACAAAAGCGATTACCTATATATTTTGCTGGTGGTCTCTATACTTTACCTCTTTTTCAATAAAAATGCAATTATTCCACCCTTCTTCTGGGTATTTCTTCAAACAGGTGAGATAAGTGTGAATGCAAAATATAGACAATCACCCGGTATATCATGTACACCCTGCATAAAAAAAGAGGTGGTAGACTATATAGGTACAGGAAGAAACTTCGTAAAATTTAAACTGTTGTGTGCACAAACTGACTATGGTCATGGTTCATAAGAAGTAGGGAACCAGAGGTAAACCATCCACCAAATGAAGCGATAACTTGCGAATATTGGCGGGAATTTGGATAAATTCAGCTCAGAACATGCTAGTGACTGATGGATGATAATGATGACGGCCTTTGTATGAAAAAACTGGCATGCAATTTTCCTATGAACCATACCTGAGAAAACCAGGGTGGAAAGTTTTTCGTGCTCCACCCTGTATCTGACTACCTGGATGAAATCAGCACAGAAAATCAGTGACAAATTTTATCGACACCAAATTCACGGCTCCCCTCTAACTGGCAGAATGACTACACAAAGATATGATCCAGACAACCCCATGAACACCTCCCTATCCCGAATCTGCTAGTCATAAACCAAGTAAAAAACCCACACCAAAATTAGACAAGAATTTTGCCGCTGGCGTCAACAGCCTTATAGCCTAAAGCAGGAGGCTCTGGTAATCTCATCGAAGGTCTAATTTCTACTCTCTGTTCTTCAGAAAATTCCAAGCAGCCAGCGATTTAGTGTGTAAACAATTCCTTTATCGCTGGCTATGAGGAAAAGCACTTGTCTAATTAATCATCAGACAACCCCAATCTGACCACTATATATACTTAGGCAAAAGCTGCCCAATTTAGCTGCAAATGCATATCCCAATCCCGGTAAATTCTTGCACCCAATCACAAACCTCCCCACCTGCACCAAAACTACTACCTAGAGACTCATCAGGGCTCAGAATTGGTCAGGGTGTAGGGCTGTCGACCCCATTTTATCCAAACCCGCGTTCACGCGCACAAACCCCTAGCTCACACTTTGTTGTTGAGCAAGCGTCCAATGGACCAAACCGCCCTACGGGGCACAACTTTTTGTTTTTTGTTTATATGATAAGTCATGTCCTTAGGTTAAGTAATTGTTATATGTAGGTATATTGTTTGAGGGGGGCCTTACCCTTCTTCCTGTATTATGTAATATTGGAATTTTAAAATATTTTATGTTTACGAATTTGGATGACTCACTCTTCAGTTACGTTCACAAAACAATACAACATTATTTTTAATAGTATAACATGTTTATTGTTGCAAAAAAAAAATACGTCAAAAAATATACAGTTTATGAAGACGAAAATCACTCAAAAATAATTTTCCCTTCGCCGTTAATGGACGAAAGGTATGGGCCAAAAAAGATAAGAAAAAAATAAATTATTCACGATGACACACGAGCTGCGATAAGAATTCCACCAGGGTCCTAGTCGGACGCCCCGACATTCCCTCTCTAAGATACGCATAGTCTTTTCCGTCTGTCCGCATTACGCCATAAGTGTCCATATGCAACCAATCGCCGCAAGGCACGAATTCGTTGAGGAAGGCTGCCACTTTACAAGCCTCACCACATCTAAAAATTACTTATAGCTCAATAATTGGGACTTGTGGAGCTTATACTGACCTCGGGCTTCCTCCTCTACCATAAGTCTTGACATCTTGAGCATGATGATGAGCCACGAGTTTTGTGAAATGTTCCCAAAGCGGGAATCTCCAAACTCTGTCTCCGGTATGCATCGAGGCGGCAAGCATGTATTCCCAAAGGGCTTCAGAATTGGAGAAAACTCCACTCGCCGAAGCTCCTAGGGAGTGTTTCATGTCATTTGTCATTGTACCAACATCTACGATGAATCTTGGCCAAAAGTTTTGAGCATAAACTAAAGCATCAGCCACACAGAGCCTTCCTGCCGTATCAGTCGATTCGATTTTTATACTTTTACCGTTCATGGCTTTGACAATGTCGCCGGGTCGCATTGCCGCGCAGCCAGGCATATTTTCGCAGAGAGGTACCTAAAACGCATAGTGTGATCATGGATTATTTACTTAAAATCCTCATACCAGAGCTCGAATGTTGATGGGCAATTGCAGACCCGCAACTGCGCGGCACGCAGCAACCACGCACGCAGCACCTCCCATGTCGCCACGCATGAATCTTTGCTTGTTGGTTTCTTTTAGGCATAGTCCGCCGCTGTTGTAGGTAATACCTTTACCAATAAGAACCTAAGGAAAGAAATCAACTTGAAAGTTAACACGTTGCAATCTACAATTCAAATTACACATGAGAGAGACATTTAAAGGATAGTAATTGATATCGTTCTTCTTTCTCAAAGGGGGTGTGCGCCAAAAATTAAAGTTTTAGTGTAAAAAAATCTAAGAATAACTGTTCAAACCTCGTTATTTTACGATGAACCATCGCTGAGATATACCGCTTTAAAGTGTGTGTGACGTCACGAGAGCTTCGTCCAGCCGCGCTCCGCATTGTTAATTTGATTGTTCCCGGCACGCGTAAGTGGTTTTTGTTTAGAGTATTGCAGGTGACACAGGAAAAACATATGAAAATTCAATTTACTTCACTTTCTCGTGCGTCGCTTGAACTTTCGTGACGTCATAGGGTGAGATTCGGTACCTTCATAGAGCCATATCTTCGGTATCATTTGTCTTAGAGAGGTGCGGTTTTCACTGTTATTCTTAGATTTTTTTTTTCTCTTTTTTTTTAAGATGAAGTTGTTTTTTTGGCGCACACCCCCTTTGAATCATATCTGCTAACGTTGAAACAAATCAATGTTATGTTGTGAGTCTGAGATTTTCTGAAAAAGATTATAATACAAGAACAAAATTCTAAGAGTTTTAATCTAGAGAACAATAATTCAACTTTGAGACATGCTCATCGCATGAACTCCAGATGCGATTAAATATTTGATCGATTCCTTGATCCAGAAGATAAATGCTAGTAGAAGTTCAGCAGCGGGATTCTGTAACGAATAGAGATCGTTATCCATATCGCTATGGCATTTGCTATCTTCTTCTTTCTTGTCGAAATCAAAAGAGATAGAAAAAAATCTCTATTCTTTACAGAGTTCCAACCTTGCTGTCTTCTTTTGTCTTTTTGAAATCAATAAAGATGGAACGTCAATAGAAATAGCGAATATATTATACTGGTCACTGATGGACATTTTCAGAAATTTTACTCCGAGCGGCATTTCGTGCGACATTCGGCAACTTGACGTTTCTACAGGGCTGCCAGATCTATGAAATGAAAAAGCGGGACTATTCTTATCCAGAGGGAAAGCTCGCCGCAAGCGAATCATTTTTTGCGGGTGCCATGCCCAAAAGCATAAGGGAGGGGGGTAAGTGCCAGATGCTAGTTTATGCAATGAAAGATTAGCATTTTGTTGAAATTTTTGACATTTTTATACCTACAACATACAACATTTAATATCAAAATTTTTTGTTTAAACCCAAGAATCGTAAACTGACAGGATTGCTCTTCCTGAGAAGGCGTACGTTCGCCGGTTCTCGAGTCCAGAAGGTCTGCGAGTGACGTCACCACGTCAGCAGCTAATAGTGGAGACGTAAACCGCAGACCTCGATGAAATGCTTGCGATTCAGGCTCGTTATTTGATTTTTGCGTCGATTTTAAATGTAGAAATAGCTATTTATGTAATAAGTTATAAAATGAGCGTGTTTTTTGCACTAAATGTGAAGATTGGGTAGGAAAAGCGGGAAAACCGGGACAATTCACGTGAAAAGCGGGACCTGAAATTAATAAAAAAAACGCGGGACCGATTAACAAAATGCGGGACTGTCCCTCCTAAAATGGGACGTCTGGCAACCCTGCGTTTCTACGGTATTTCGACCCCGCTGAATCCGATTCCGGATGTTGCCAAGCCAAATTTTGTCTCCAAAGCAGAGATATGGGAAAGTCGTTGGTTAGAATAGAATAAGGGTCCATCATCCTGCGCAACTGGCCGAATTTCAAGGACCGCCATTTTTATCACTTCTTGTCAAATTCGGGATTTGGAAAAATAGGTTATGAACACCTTAAAACTCCAAAAATAAGCAGAAATAACAAAAAGAAATCTTTTAAAACACCACTCTGATAAAAATATCTCAGTAAAAGTAGGTAACCGAACAAAAGTAAGGTTATGTTGTGAAAAATCTGTCAGGTCAGATTGAAGTTGTCAACGAAAAAACTTATGGCTTTCGATTGGTAGATTTAATGCGCATTGAGTGTATTTTCATCCTTTTTCATCAACCTGTAGAAGAAAAAGACAGAAATAGAAAAAACTGCATTAGATCTACCAACCAGAAACGGTATAAGTAAAAACTAGTAAAAAGTGATAGAAATGGCGGCCCCCTATGGGTTACCATCAAATCGGATGCGCAGTCGTCTAAGCGCATTCTATTTCCCTCACATATCTCTGTTCCAAAGACCTCAAATTCAAGATGGCGGCTGGACTAAGGGCCTAAATGAAATTCTTCTTAAAATGTATCGTTATTAACCGGCGAGATGTCGTTTCATATGTTTTTGGGGAACATAAATATGAGCACCGGAAGTCGATTCGGATACCGGAAGTACCCTAATTCAAGATGGCGGTCGTCGGAGGCCTAAAAACAGAACTTTCAGAAGTTGGCATATTGTCAAGTGCGGCGTTGTTTTTGACATTGACTAGATCAAAAATTAGCACCAGAAATCGATTAAGCAACCGGAAGTACCGTAATCCAAGATGGCGACCGTTTGGGGCCCAAATACCAAACTTTAAAAAGTTGCTATAATATGACGTGCTGGGTATGACCACAAGTGTTTTGAAGGTCGCTGAAAACGAATTTGAGCGATAGGAAACATGTTAACACAGGTTTGCGAAAATATAATAGAACAAATATACATACTTTGAGGGGTTTGAGGTCGTGTCTGCAAGAGACACAGACGTATTTGTTTTGCTCCTGCACCATTTTAAGAGAATGAAATGCAAATAATGTTTTATGATGGATGGTACTGCTAAGGACAGAAAGTCTGTACAGTCGTGAGCATAAAAAGTTAGGCACCCGTTTTTTCCTATTGTAAAACGAGCTCATCAGCTATACCTACTGCAACGACAGGGATTGTCATATTTAACAAAAAATCCATTGTAGAGAAAAGACTGATTTACCCAAAATAGGGAAAAATGACAATACCTGTCAGTCAGGTGTGCCACTTTTTATGCTCACGACTGTACCTATTCATACAGTTGCAGCGACAACTCTCAGTGAGCGAAACAATATCCAATATAGGGAGGCGCTCTAGTTGTATATCGTACACATTCCAAGCTTCTTGATGGACTCGCAGTTGCAGAAGTTCAGAAGAGATTTTTGTCAAGGTGCGAGCAATTCATGGTATTTTTATACAAGATAAGAGAAAATACCTGTGATGAAGCGAGACACATTCTTTTTGGAAAAGTTTCAAGTACTGAATTGCTTCCAGCTACGTCTGATGCAGCCCGTCTTCACATTCTCCGAGCCACCTACCAAGCCGGGGTCTGGCTGAATGCACACCTAGCAAGGCCAGACCTTGCTGATCCTTGCCGGTACGGATGGAGTCTGGAATAGAATTACATCCCAGTCTACACCACCCTGCCAGCGGTGCTCAAGTCCTGCACGCAGTTACTGAGTTGTGGATAAAGGTCAGGGTGCGGCACAGGCTTGTGCAATTGCAGGCGGGAGAGTGAGGTCTGCATCAAGTTGTGCAAGTATCAGGCAGACTGCGAAAACAACAATGACAGTGATGATGTATTCATGTAAAATGTTTTGTGCATTTTGTAAACTCCTCAAAGTATAGTTTTACTATTTTATTTCGGCAAACCTGTATTAACATGTTTCCAATCGTTTTTCCGACCACAAATTCGTGTTCAGCGACCTCCAAATCACCTGTGGTCATAGCACGTCATATTATAGCAACTTTTTAAAGTTTGGTATTTGGGCCCCAATCGGTCGCCATCTTCGATTACGGTACTTCCGGTTGCCTAATCGATTTTTGGTGCTAATTTTTGATTTAGTCGATGTCAAAAACATATGTGCGTATGTGCCGATAGGCCGCACTTGACAATATGCCAACTTCTGAAAGTTCTGTATTCAGGCCCCCGACGGCCGCCATCTTGAATTATGGTACTTCCGGTATCTGAATCGACTTCCAGTACTCATATTCATATTCAGCAACCCGAAAAACATATGAAACGACATCTCGCCGATCAATAACGATACACTTTAAGAAAAATGTCATTTAGGCCTTTAGTTTGGCAGCCACCTTGGATTTGAGGCCTTTGTAGGCAAAAGTCGGCTTGACAACATCCGGATTCGGATTCAGCGGGGTCGAAATACCCTAGAAACGTCAAGTTGCCGAATGTCGCACCAAATGCCGCTCGGAGTAAAATAGAGTACGATTTCTGGGAATGTCCCCCAGTCTACAGGCCTATTCCCACAGGAGTCTCTGACAGTTTGTAAACTGTTAATAGGCATCGCCCATAGATGTTTTCATTGCTGTCGTTACAAGATAAATCTGTAACTTAGCTGAGCGATTGTTTCTGACAGATTGCAAACTGTCAGAGACACCTGTGGGAACAGACCTTATATCTCTATTCATTACAGAATCCCAGCCCAGATTTGACTATTAATTTTTTGTAGTACAACATTCTATAACTACTTCTTACTGTTGTAACAGGCCAAAATTGCACAACTAATTCTTACCTACTTTCAGTTTTCTATTCAAAATTTCCTTAAATTTGTCAACATTTTCTCTCTATAAAATTTCAACAACAATCTCAACGGTTGCGGATCCTGTATCAACGGTTGTGGATCCCCGCTATATTTAAATGGAAATTGGTTACCCGTGATATTTGGATGAAATTTAAATATGTTATTGAGGATGCCATAAGCAACATTTTTTACCATGGGCACAACCCTGTATATATGACAGGTGAGGCGTGGTTAGCTGTCAAATATTGGAATCTTATATCCAAAAGCAGAGTAACTATGGCAGATTTTGATGAACAAAAAATCTATTTCTACTAAGTCGACCAAGTTAAGTCGAAAAATGTCAACCATTTTGACACCTGCCAAAACCCTGTCAAACGGCGGCACTCATCTTTTCCAGTTTTCAATATTTCATGATGCCATTTTGACATTTTTAACTTGTATGTAAATTCTGAATTCAAAAATTGAAAAAAAAATGACAGAACTGTCAAAACCTGTCATTTGTTTTAGTAGAAAAAAAACCCTAATCTGATTCTTTTTTGTTTCAGGGTAGTTTATTGGTGATAAAACATTAAACAAAGTTCATGCATGTCACATTTTGACAACTGTCAGAATCTGTTTTTTTGCTTTTTGGTTCATATTGAGTTTGTTTGCTTAGTGAAGTTCTACAACTATAATGATAGAATAATACAATAATACAATAGAACTAGACCTCCACTAAGCAAACAAACTCAATTTGAATCAAAAATCTAATAACAGATTCTGACAGTTGTCTGACAGTTGTCAAAATGTGACATGCATGAACTTTCTTCAATGTTTTATCACCGCTAAACTACCTTGAAACAAAAAAGAACCAGATTAGATTATTTTTTTCTACTAAAACAAATGACAGGTTTTGAATTTACTGTAAGCAATTTAGCAATTCCTGACTTTCATAGTGTTTATCCAATGTTTATCCTATCTGTGCGCCATATTGAATAAATACAAGTGGCCTGCATTCATTAGGTTATGTAGCAACCATAAAGGTGCAGAAATGTCATTTATGAATGACATTTCTGACTTTTGACACAGACCTAGTTTTTCTAGAATCAAGAAGAACAACAACCACGTGCCATGAAAAACAAACCGTTAGTCGCCAGTTTTCCAATAAAAGTGAATTAAAATAGAATCGCAATTTCTTTTATTTTGAAAACAAACATCGCCGGCCTTTCCTACATTACATACAAGTTAAAAATGTCAAATGACATCATAAAATATTGAAAACGGGAAAAGATGAGTGCTGCCGTTTAGCAGGGTTTTGACAGGTGTCAAAATGGTTGACATTTTTCGACCTAACTTGGTCGACTTAGTAGAAATAGATTTTTTGTTCACCAAAATCTGCCATAATTTCTCTGCTTTTGGATATAAGATTCCAATATTTGACAGCTAACCACGCCTCACCTGTCATATATACAGGGTTGTGCTCATGGTAAAAAATATTGCTTACGGCATCCCCAATAACATATTTAAATTTCATCCAAATATCACGGGTAACCAATTTCCATTCAAATATTGCGGGGTCCTTTCCTAATTTTCAATAGTCAAATTCTATTTGCTGTAATGATTTCTCCTCGTCCAACGTGGGGCCGTTGGGGGGCCTGTACACGCATCAACCGAAAACAAAGATGGAGCAGTGGAAGACGAGTTCTACGACACTCTGGAGAGTAAAATAGGCGCACTAGCTGAACAGGATATGAAACTTATTTTGGGAGATTTTAATACAAAGCTAGGAGGAGAAGCGAAATTTAAGCTCCACGAGCCTACACAAATTCTCAAATGATGACATGCAGAACTAGTAGCATCCAACCAACAAGCATATTATCAACTTCCAATTTATTTTCTATCATGAGAAAACTCTAATTAATAAATCCTGAGTGTTTCAAATTGCTGGGATGGCTTTTTCAGGAACCTTCAAAGACGATTTTACACGAATTTTATGATTTTCTTAAGTATTAATGAGTAAAAAAGTTCGCAACGTTAATGTAAGACAATAACAGTAAATTTAGACCACTAAGAAGAGAGTCTAATAAACTACTAGAAGGAAAAAAAAAAGAACATAACAGGATCAAAAGTTGCAGGAGATGGAAGAAAAAATACCAGGAAATTTTATAAGACAATAAGAACAAGAAACAATGGCTTGAAACCTAGAAGCAACAACATCATGAAGGATGACAACATATTGATCTAGTAACCATCAGGCAAGATCAGATGCTGCAAACATGGAAAGAATACTTTGAACAATTACTTAACCAGGGTTATATAAATAACGAAGTACCGACCAGCTTCTAACCTGCGGAAATGCGAGTGGAATTGAGAACGCTATTAAAAAGTTAAATAATAATTAAATATCCGGGTAAAGATACGATAACCGCCGAACTCTTCAAACAAGCTGGAAACACCACAGCCATATTTCAACTACACGAACTCATAAGAACTATCTGGAAAAACGGAAAAACAAGAAGACTCCAGAAGACTGGAGATAATGCAGAATAATCCCCTTACACACAATTATAGAGGAGTATCGCTCATAAACATAGCATAATAAGTTCTAGCAAATATAATTCACAGAGGAGAAAAAATCTGGGAATTCAATAGGTAGATACACCAACTGTTTATAAATTTCCAACAGGCCTATGATAGTGTGAGAATGGTTAAGATCTGGGAGACAATATGGCAGAATTCGGGATACCTCATACTCATAAGATTATAAGACTTAAGACTAAGAGCCGCATTATAACTGTGTATTTTTCTGTGTATTTCTACATGAAGAAATACACGAATGCAAAGCGGAAATATTAGCCGCGTTTTAACAGCTGATTACGTGAATAAATTCATCGATCTATGCATGCATAAACACATGTAGAAATACACAGATGTAATGCGAGCTTAAGAAGAGTTTGTGTGGAAAGTTCCAGATGCAGAGTGAAGAAAATACTCAAGAGAAAATGGACCCACCATAACAAGAAAACTTTCTATGTCAAAGAATATACATTTTCAGATTTACCTGAGGTGAGATCATCATAGATCCGAGAGCTGAAATCAAACTTCAAACAAGACAACTTTTGAGTCTTTCATCAACTTAACACTGTGAAAAATATTGTAAAAGCTCTTTGGGATTAAAGTGGGATTTAGCCATTTGGCAGAAATATTTTCCAGGACTAGATATTTCTTTATGTTCTTCTGCCTTGGTCCCAGAACCTAGATAACATCTTGAAACCCCGTTGCCACACCCTTGGACTTCTGATATAAAATCCTTTCATCTATGAACAATCTCATAGCTAGTAACACATCATTTCCCAGCCACTGGGTGAGTTTTGCAAAAATGAAAAGAGCGAGGAAAATGTATGGATTAAAAATAGAGATAGCTCTATACTGAAAGGATTCTAATGTGCTTAGGAATTGTAAACTTCTGGTCCAAACTAAGCTTAATTTTTACAAGCGACTGATTCAATCAACTCACTTCCATGTTATCATAAAGGCGGAATCCTCTCCAACAACGATAGTTGTTTCAATTTAGAAGATCGTGCGAGATATTTGATGTTAATATTTGTCAAAATTAGACATCAATTTTTTGGTCTTAGGTCGCTGCATAACCTATGGAAACTCCTAAAAGAAATCATGACTTTCTGAAGCTTCTGGGGATTAACAAACTGATGGGCGAAGGACAGAGATTACCCTGGAAATTGATACAGAATTGAAGAATTCACAAAACGCTGCCTGGGGAAATAGAACCGGTAGACAATGATAAAAATTTATAATAAAAACTATGTATTTGTTTTAATAATATGTGAATAATATCCTTGAAAGTTGTGCCCAAAATTGGAACAAATTAAAATATCTAATTGTTATCGAAGATGCGAATTAGAAAATTGATGGATTCGACCAATACAAAATATTGAGGGTAGATAATGATTGAACACGAGACTTATTGAATATTTAGTTGGAAATATGCTTATTTCAAACAACATATCCTTTATGTTCGGATTTGATTGGGAACCACATTTTGAAGAGTCGCTGACTAGAGTATAATAAGTAATATTTTGAACATAACAAAAAACTTACCACAGGTCGTTCGTCTCTAGACGCTCCGTAATAACTGAGCTCCAAAAAGATTGGCGGTTCGCAAGATCCTTGAGCCACGGCCAAAAACGCGTACATCTTTTGCGTTTCGGCCCACCCACGTACTTTGACTTCAACGTTGACGCCCGATTTACACAGTACCTGAAAATTTATTAAAAATAAGATTAATAAATAAAAAAATCAATCAGGTATAGGTACTTCAACGGCGTTTTGTGCAAATGAAGTAGGCGTCATAAGATTCGCCGGCGTGTCCATGAGTTGCCTGGCCAAATTCTGAGCGGCCGCTTTCTGCAAACCGATTTGCCAACCGGTCCAGTCGCAGTCGTCGTACAATTCTAGTTGAGGAATGAGAATTTGATGCGACTTCTTTTTTTTCTCTTGGTAGAGCCACACGCCCAAGGCGGAACCTTCCGCGGCCGATTCGGCGTGTCCGAAACTTTCCACGAAAACCTTCATGGAGTTCATTTTCTGTAAGGCCTTCGCCCCTTTGGCTGCAGCAATTCGGATAGTCTCCTTGCCTTCGTCCATTTGTTCGAACACGTCGTAACCTTGACATTCTCTGCCCAATCCGACGACTGCTACCGAATTAAACTCGTCGTCCAAATTGAAAAATACTCGGACTTCGCCTTTGGGCGGTGGTTTTCCGGCCACCGATAGCAGTTCGAACAATCTACCGCATACCATGGAGTTATACCTTTCACCTGTGGGCGTCAATTTTCCAGGATCGAACAAATCGTCGATGTTCGAGTAGCATCCCAAAATAAGCCCCTTCAAGCGGTTTACTTTGCAAGGGTTTTCGTCTTTCAGGATCGCGCCGCAACCTGGGGCCAGCGGTGGCCGAGGGATTCGTTGAGCTGCTGTGCCCGCAGCAGCCTCAGCAAAGGTTCTGATCAAATTCGTACAGGGTCCGAGAGTGCTGATTTTGAATATTACGCGTAATAATGCCATCGTGTTTCGATATCACTTACGCATATTTACGTACAATTTTTTTTTTGGATTTTTGACTGGAAAAAAAAAATTATTTGACAAAACTGATTTTTGTTTTGTAAACTCAAAAAGGTTGCTTAGTGACTACTTACTGAAAATTGGTCCGCCAAAATTAGCCTGGTAAAAGTACAAAATATACGTACTTTAAAAGGTGTTTTGGGTCTTGGTATATAATTACTGGTTAATTTGATTCGGCTCTACTAGGAATGATAATTCTTCGAACAGTGGGCCTGACTTTTCGAAATATTTTTTAACAAAACGTCAAAACCTGACATAAATTGGATACCAGGCATAGACTTTGATAGAATACCAGCTAGCCATGTTCGTGTTAGTCTCTATGGTGTTAGTGCCAAATTATGGACTGTTATGATTTTCGAAGTCATTTTAGTATATTCGTGTTATCATTTATGGTGTAATCAGTTATCATTCTTGTATATTTAAAAATATTAATAAATTAGTAAGGATAAATATTATTAAATATAAGTAATATTAAATTAGTTCATTTAAAGCCAATACGCGACTCTGTGACCCGAAAGAAAAAATCTAAATTATTTTTAATCAGGTCCTGTCTCGTATCCCAAAATGGCCGCTAGTGACATCCCGACAATGAATTCCTTTATTACACGGGATATCAGTCAAGTTAGCCTGCTGATTGTTTTTGTATATGCTGTGCTAGAGAATAGAAAGTACCTGCTAGGTAACAACCAGATACTTACCAGTTGGTTCATAATCTGGCCCTTAGATGATTAGTACCCCCAAAAATTCAAATGAAAAGGGGGGTCGAGTGATACGTCATTTGATTGCTATTTTCATTAAGATTATATCCCCGAAGTTTTAAGTTGCTACTATTTACCCTGTTGAAATGGCGGCTTGTCAAAGTTAGGAGAAATCAATGGAAAAATGCTGTGTGATTTTTACCTGTTACCTACGCATAGGTGTGACAGGTAAAAACTATACAGTTAAGATTTTCGAAAAAAAGCATTTATCCTAACTTTGAAATAAGTAGCAACTTAAAACTTCGGGGATATAATCTTAATGAAAATAACTACCAAATGACATATCACTTGACCCCTCTTTCCATTTGAAATTTTGGGTGTACCTGTTACCCCTACTTAAGAGTTGACAGGTAGGGGGTGAAAATACCAATAGAATGTGTCCCCCAAAAAGCAAAAATTGACGTGTTCGAGCGATTTTTAATTAAACACCTAACACCTGAGAAAACCTGGGTGGGAAGTTTTTCGTGTCCCACCCTGTATAAAAGGAATGGATGTTTGCTCATGCATGTCCCTTATTCTGGCGTACCTGGCAGCACTCTCCTCAGTATTTGATTATGAAATCTCTGAATTCTGGAATTTATGTTCCGGACAATCTGTCAAGTCAATTTTGGTTTTTTGGGGGACACTTTTTATTGGTATTTCCACCCCCTACCTGTCAACCTTTAAGTGGGGGTGACAGGTAACCCCAAAATTTCAAATGAAAAGGGGGGTCGAGTGATACGTCATTTGATAGCTATTTTCATTAAGATTTATATTGCCGAAGTTTTAAGTTGCTACTATTCACCCTGTCGAAATGGCGGCTTGTCAAAGTTAGGAGAGATCAATGGAAAAATGCTATTTTTACCTGTTACCTACGCATAGGTGTGAGAGGTAAAAACTATACAGTTTAGATTATCGAATGTAATACCACAAGAGGTTTCAGGATTACCGGATAATACTTTTACCTGTCACGAAACGCGTTACGCAACAACACCACGACTCCGAAGGAAGAGTGGTGTTGCTGGTAACGCGTTGAGTGTCAGGTAAAAGTATTAGGTAATCCTGAAACATCGAGTGGTATTCAAAAGTTTATACAACGAACTAAACTTTGATACTTTAAAATTTAAAAAAAATTGTATAATGGAATTTGCTATAAATGCCACCAAGCGCGATAATCAGGGCCGTAGCCAGGGGGTGGGGGGGCATTGGGGGGCAATGCCCCATCTTTCAAATGATCATGCCCTACCTTTAATACACAACATGCGTTAAGGTTTTTTCTAAGAAATTTAAGAGTAGATTGAATAGGCCTGAAATCGAGTAAGTGCGAGGATAAGTGTTTACGAAAACTCCTAAATGTATGCAATAATGTTTGACGTTCGACGTTTACACAGAGGAAGTTTTTGGTTTCAAAAGAATGCGAATTCAAGGATAATACGATAATGCACACTACTACACAGCATTGCTTATCGGCCTAGCTCATTTGTGGAAATCCCGGCCATTGACGACATCATCAATTACGTCGTCAGCTGTTTACGCCAGCGGTCGTAGTTTAGAATATACATTTTGGATGAAAAATGTCATTTAATTTTGATTAACATAATAGGCAAAGAAGAAGATCTAAAAAAGCGTTGCTTTAGAATGTTAATTAATGTACTAAAACCAAGTAGGTATGCATAAAGCAAAAGCCCGCCGCGGAATCATAACCTGTGGTGCAAACACCCTACGTCAAGAGAAAAACGACACGCTGGCTACGTCATCACTGGTTCTTTGACGTGGGGGAGGTTTGAGATTTGATCTACACAGGCCTTATGAGGATAAGCTACCTACAGTAGTACTTATGGCAAAAACCATTGGTAAAATTAGTGCAAAAAGCATGTATTTCTTTTTTACAAGCTAGTAAAAGAGGACAGGAATACTCTCAGTGCGCACTGAACTTAGCACTGGATTTCACTATTAGTGTGTATTATCCTTGGTGCGAATGGTCCAAGGCGGCGCGATAATCAGCGCCATTTTGTTTACTTGCCATGTGTTATTTATTGAAAAATTTGCCTTCGGCGCCATAACCCCCAGTTTATTTACCTATAATTTAGGGGGGGAGTGTGCCCTATGTCAAATTTGTCATGCCCTATCACATATTTGACTCTAGCTACGGTCCTGGCGATAATCCTAAAAGGCTTATCACTTGTTAAGCCTCTCGTGTCATATGGAAATAATGTGAGTTGTATAATTGAAAAAAAGCATTTATCCTAATTTTGACATGCCGCCATTTCGGCAGGGTAAATAGTAGCAACTTAAAACTTCGGGGATATAATCTTAATGAAAATAGCTACTAAAATGATGTCTCACTCAACCCCCCTTTTCATTTGAAATTTTGGGGGTAGGGGATGAAAATACCAATAAAATGTGTCCCCCAAAAAACAAAAATTGACGTGTTCGAGCGATTTTTAATTAATCACCTAACACCTGAGAAAACCTGGGTGGGAAGTTTTTCGTGTCCCACCTTGTATAAAAGGAATGGATGTTTGCTCATGCATGTCCCTTATTCTGGCGTACCTGGCAGCACTCTCCTCAGTATTTGATTTTGATATCTCTGAATTCTGGAGTTTATGTTCCAGACAGGGGCCCCATAGGTGAGCATAGGTCTTATGACCTGTTTGTATATTAAAAGTTTGTTACCTGGCAATAGAGGGGAGTTGGGACCGATGAGGGGTACAGTTTCTGCTGCGCACTGAAGGTGTGAGCCAAAGCGTGGGATACGTGGTACTGGAATTTGTATAAAAATGTTTCATTTACTAAAACTCTCGTTGAAGGGGGGACACTTAGTTAAGAATGTTGAGAGGCAACCCGAGTGTTCAGAGTGAAGCTCGGAATCTGAATGCCTTGCCTTCATTTATCTTTCACCAAGGAAGGCAAGGTTGGACCTCCCTAAAGAAGGGTATTTTACAATTTTCTAAAATTAACTTATCCTAACATATTGTAGCAAAACGCCCCAAGTACTCTATGTAATTAGTTAGATGGTAAATGGCGAGCGGTATATTGATGGTGTTTATTTACTCGGAGCTGCTACCTAAAATCTGTGGAAGGGTCTATTTGCAAGAGAGAGAAACAAACTATTGAGGTGTACTAAAATTATATTTTATTATACATAAAACCCAAAAATTTAAATCAGCAAAATATCGTCCAATTCTGACAGCCTCATCTATTTCTATAAATTCAATTACTTCACATCCGTTCTAAAATTGTTATTATTACGGACCACTGAAATATCCCTACTAAATAAGAAACGCCCTATTCCTACTATTCCTAATAACTTATAAGTTAACTCATTTCAACACTTCCGATTCATTCCTATTAACTACTCTTCACCTATTAATGTAAATTCATTAAAATTTCTAAGTCCTTTACTGACTGCTTATGAAAACCCAAAATAATTACCTATTTGTTTATCAATATAGGTATTACTAACTTATTCTTATAAAACCTTACAATAATTTCTACTTGAAAAATAAAAATCCTAATTCAAAATTCATTTCATGAACAACAACTTTCCAATATTTTAAGACAATTAATTCTATTTCATGTACATCAGTTTTCCTTTCAAAATTTCCTATTCCATTTGATAGTTTATTTAATCAGAACAAATTCTATTTTCGGATTCCTATGCCTAGCTAATAAATTCAACTGTTTAATTCATAATTCCAACTCAAAATTGTATATTGTTAAATGCATTATAAGTTCCCTTCATATTTTTGGTGCAAAATTAAATTAGAATGTCATTATATCTGAAGGCAATTAAAGTTAAGCAATAATGTTCCAAAACACTCGAGTTATTGATATTTATGCAATAAAGTTCAACAGTTAATTATAAAGTCAAAAGTTTTTCTAGTAAAAAATCACTCAAGTTTTTACGCATTAAAAGTCATTGTTAATTCACTTCTTATCATTCAGAATCATTGATAAAAGTCACAACGTTGCCAGAATGTTTTCAGGTAACGTACTAAAATTGTAGATATGAAAAATGTACTAGATTTCGTGAAAATGTACTAGATTTTTTTTTAAGATGAGGATGGGTTCAAAAAATAATACAAATGAAAACATAAGGAGTTTTCGGAAACGTTAATCTGATTAACCCGATCATCAGCAGTCTTTCATCTTTTTTTAATGAATACGATTGAAAAATGACACAAAACATCAACTGGTTTATCGGATGAGCATTTCTGAAAAAGCCTATAGTATATTTTGGAATATAATTTACACAAATTTTTATAAAAACGGTTTTGGGAACGTTGTTATAAAAGATGTTTTCGTTCTTTGTTCAAAAAAAAAAAGAAAAGAGATGCAAATATAGCCGAAGCCCGTAATTGTGAACGCGCCCTCGAAACCATGTTTAGCGTTCGATATCAAAATCATAAAATCTGAAAATTTATGTGTCGGAATTTTTACAAAAAGGTAAAGTATGTTTTTTTTTTTAAAGATTATTCCCCAAGTCAAAAATTTAGTAACTATGTTGGCAACACAAGCCTTT